CCTTCCTTCCTTCCTTCCTTCCTTCCTTCCTTCCTTCCTTCCTTCCTTCCAGTATTAGTTACTTTTCTGCTAGTTAGGCATTGTTTCTGTCAAACCAATATATAACAGATGTTTTAAAAACCTTTATGAACAGATTAAAAATAAATGAAAATTGATAATTGGTTTGTACTTTCTGAAGAAGTTTTATTCTGCGTGGACTCTGATGTTTTGTGGTTTGTTTGGGTTTGTTGTTTTTTTTTTGTCATAGTGTCACTGTGCTACCGTGGCTGCTTTGAATGCTGTAGAGATTAATTATTTTTAATTGTCCATCTTGTATAGAGAAGCTGTGAACTAGAGCACATTTGTATGCAAGCTACAAGTCACTTAAGCCTAATAACCTGACTTTGAAGCCCCTTTAATCCCACTGGCAAGCAGAAGCTACTTAAAATGGCTCCTCGTGGTAGCAGCCTCCACAGTAGTCCATTCATTTGTTTTTAGGAGGAAGAGTAGCTTACGTAAACTAGGCTTTTCCAATACAGTATTTAGCAAGACAAGCCAGTAATGTAATTACTTTATAATGAAATTTTCTAGAAAGAAGTATGAAATCAGGAAAGGCTTCATTATTTTTTATTATCAGAAAGATAACTTTCTATGCAATAAAAGAAATTGTGCAAATCTAAGGACTTAAAAAGTGGGCCAGGCATTCTGAGACACACTAACTGAATGAATGACTGACTGACTGACAAGAAAACACACCAGGTTCTGTTCTAAGAAAAGACTCCCAGTGAGCCTTGTGACTGACAGCTGCTACTACCTTCAGAATGGACATTTCCCTCTGTGCCAGTGGATGCCTCCATCCCAGGACTAGTAGCAGTTTTGGGATGGAGTGAGATTGAAACAAAATCACACCATGAGGCAGGGCACATATTAAAAAAATCAGAATACATTAAGAGTACACACATATTTAAGCTATCATCTAATTCAGCCCTCCATTGATATCATTGTTAAGTATGATTTATAACAGATCAGGATATTCAGTTTTCTTCTTCCAGCCGAAGAATCATTTGGGGAATTCTTCTGTCAAGACTGAATGCATATCTTGTTTGTTTCAGTAAACATTCCCATGAGGCAGGGACATATTTAAAAAAATCAGAATACATTAAGAGTACACACATATTTAAGCTATCATCTAATTCAGCCCTCCATTGATATCATTGTTAAGTATGATTTATAACAGATCAGGATATTCAGTTTTCTTCTTCCAGCCGAAGAATCATTTGGGGAATTCTTCTGTCAAGACTGAATGCATATCTTGTTTGTTTCAGTAAACATTGGCAAACTAAACTAAAGCACGTTTTTCTTCAGGGACCTCACATTAATTCCAGTTACAAGAGTGTGTTCATACATCATCACTTGATTTGCTTCTTCTGCATGGGCAGCTGAAAGGCTATCATCTCCTGTTAGATATTCGGTGCTGAGTGATATGGCAAATACCTTATTGTCTTGACTCTGTATTCATCTGACTTGGAAATTTAATTAATTTACTTCAGTCAAATTCATCAAAGCAGGCTTAAGCTGAGTTAATATGCAAGTTGAGCTACAAGTCCCTGAAATAATTATCTCAGATTTATTGTATCATCTGTCAGCCTTCTTGCTTACCACAATTGATAGCTTCCAGTACCACATTGGAGTGGTCTTGTGGTTTGTGTCAGTTGTTAACATTTAAAGTAGCTAATTCTGGAGGTTTTGAAAATAGTTGAAGTTAGTATGGAAATTTTCAGTGCAAAGCACAGAATGAAAGAAGACATGCTACTGCTGTTTCGGGATCAGTAACACTTGCACCGATATAGGTGAACATTGCATAAATTTATATTATCATGAATGAGTTGTGAGTTGTGATCTACTAAATAACTGATGACCCTGAAAATAGGTAACTATACAAGGAGTTTTCTTTCTTCTTTGCCACACCTAGATATTTTGGGCGGAATCCATGAGTCATACTTAAAGGAGACCCTCTGAAATGATGTGTTGTGACTAAGAAATTCCATTTATTTCTAGGAGTGTACTCTTGGGGTGGTGGGGGATGAATGCAGGATTTCCCCCATGTAATCATAATTCTGAAGTTTAGGATCAAAGCTATTTTCCCTCCAGAAAGATGGAAAATACAGTTCTCATTTTAATTTATGCCATTTTATTGCACAGATTTAATTTTATTGCTAAGTACATGGGCTCCAGGAAGTCCCTGCTCCCCCTTGTTTTAAGACATCATAACAACAGCTTATGGGGTCCCAGGGCTTTCTCCCTTCTTCTGGAAATAAAGGGTGCTGGCTCAAGAATTTCAGTCATTTTGGTGCTGCTGTACCTGCCTAGCTGCAACGTAGAAGAAAAAGTTGTTCTATATAGATAGAACCTTTTCACCAGTTCTTGTGAAGCATAGCCTCAGGGATATAGGCAGTATAATTGGCTACTAGTGAATATATATAATACATGGCCCATACCTAGGTGCATTTTCAATGCATGAAGAAACTGAAGGATTGATTTTTGCTGCACAAGAACAAGCATTCCAACCCAGTGTGATGAAAGCTTAGATCCAAGGAATTAGTGCTGGTTTAAACCTATAGAGCCCTAAATGGCTTGGATCCAAGCTGTCTCAAGGACCATGTCTCCCTTTATGAGACTGCCCAGGTGTAAAGATCATCAGGAGAGACCTTTCTCTCAGTCCCACAAACTTTACACATGCATTTGGTGGGGACATAGGAGAGAGGCCCTTCTGTGTTGCTGCCCCCAGACTCTGGAACTCCCTCCCATGGAAGGCTAGGCTGCTCCCTCTTTGCCATCCTTCTACAAGCAGGCTTTCTATTAGTGGTAGGCTGTCTGGAAGAGGTTTTTAATGGACTGTTGTGCCTTGCTGCTTTGAATATGTTTTGGTGTTGATTTTGTTTACCACTTTAGTTCTTTTTAATATTTGTATACATACTGGTTTTTAGTTTTTAACTGTGAGATTCAGCGCATTAAACAAGTTAATGTCTAGTCCATTTCAACTTACCTCCATCTTTATACATACTGGTTTTTAGTTTTTAAATAATTTATTTGAACTGCATACGCAGTTCTCACATGCACCCCAGTAACTGTGAGATTCAGCCCATTAAACAAGTTAGTGTCTAGTCCATTTCAACTTACCTCCATCTGAGTGTCTCACAGTACCATCCTCAGCTTGTCTTCTCAGAGATTAGGATCACTGCATCCAGTAGAGCTTGCTCCCAGCTAGGTATAGGATAAGGATTGTAGCCCTAGAATGAGAAACAAAGTGTAATGAAATAGAAACATTTCAATTGTGATGGTAAAAGAAGTGTTTTGGGAGCCGTAGTCCAAAGCAGTTACTTGTCCCATTTCTAACTATAGTGTTACATATTAACATTGAGAATATATACTGTATTTTTTGCACCATAAGACTCGTATTAACATTGAGAATATATATTAAAAAGTACATTTTCTCAAATCCCCTATCCCTTTGTTGGGATATATTTTTCACTGGTGATTATTGGGTAAGAGATGGGGGAGCTCAGGAAACCATTATGAACTAATTGTGTGCAGCTATATATGTGTGTTAAAAATCACTGCTTACGTTGTAAATGGTTTATTAAATTGTTACAGATCATTCACATCTCCATGCATAGTGTTATGAACGGTTCATTACGCAATTAGAACTGGTCAAATCCCTTCTCTACAGAAGCATTTTCTGCAGCGCAAGCCTCAAGTTGCAAATTTCATTATGAATAACTTGTTAAACATCATGTTCCTATTGCCATATGCAAGCATTTCAATAAATTACAGGGCCAGTAAGCATATTACAACCTTTGTAGCTTGCATGCATAAGGG